ACAAAAGTGGGCTAGGGTTTCCGAGATGGTTGCTTAATGGTGTTAAGGAGACTAGTCCATAGCCATAATGTCCTTTATATAGGGATAAAACCCTAAGAGTTAGGGTTTTTGGACCCTACGTGCGTACGCTGCGCGTACCCCTTTGGTACGCTGGCCGTATGCGCTTGGCTTCCGTGTCCTTGATCCTTGAGTACGTTGGGCATACATGGGAAGGTACACCCTGCGTACGTACCTCATTAGCCCAAACGTAAAGGCCCAAAGGCCCAAGTCCAAACCTTATAAATCTCGGGTGTTATATAGACACCTTAATCTAACATTTTGAACCTATGAATAGTAGCATAGGCTCATAACCCATGATCAAATCATCTTCCCTATGTTTAGTGTTATCCATCATACATATTGGACATTTATGCTTTATTAACCCTTCTCATGTTATGGAAACGAATATACTATCAGAACATGTCTTAGAATTAGTCTTCCTTTTTTTCCTTGGTGTTTAAGATCAGATTAGGTATTTCAACATAAATTGTCATTTACCCATGAGCAATTTGCTTTCTTCTTCTTGACACTTTTATTTATGATAGCAAATATGAGAGTATATGAATTTGAAGTTTCTATCACTGGCCATGTTAGTCCCAAAGGGTGTCAACATGCCAAGCAATTCTTTTATGGACATTTTCAAGTTGTACTTATCAAAATCATAGTGAACTTATTATATGTACATGTCAACTAGTTGATTATGGTCACCATAGTCAACTCCTAACTTAAGGAGATTCCATTATACTTCAACAATACGCTTGGCGATTGTTTCAAATACTTTTTGAATGCAGTGTTTGAAGGAAACTCAGGAACAGATTTATCTAAGGCATGATCTTTCTATTCATCTATGAGAACCATTACCAAGATATGAATTTTGACTAGATTGATCATCATACCAACTAATCCTTTTGAGAAGTCTTATAACAGTAGATTTTGGTGGATTTTATGATAGAAATCATTCAATATCAGTTCCATTCTTCTTTGTTTTATTAACACTTTAATAACTTTTATCCATAATTAATTATTTACTAAGGCTAGGATCCATATTTGGCTTCGTGATGTGAAATGGATGTCGTAAACACACCACAAAGTTATTTAGGTATGCAAAGCTCTTTGCTAGTTTCAATATCCATGAAACTCTTATATCTTTAGAGATTCATTAAGTGGGGGTCAATGACATGTTAATCTCAGATTATGGTCATCTCAATTTTATGACGGTGATGTCGCGAATCATAGAACAGATGGTGAATCAACCATGTAAACTGCATGACCCTCAATCTGAATTATCCTCACATTGACACAGGTTAACCACACACTACATCAACAAACTAAAATTTTCAAGTGCCACATCATTTTTAACTTATACCCTCGCTTTGATGTGCCGGTTAACCATACACGCTTCATCAACAAAATATAAAGAAAATGTGTGTTTTCATAGGTAGCATATGACTCACGTTTTTAATAAATTTGGATTTTGATTAAATAATATTTCATTAATTTTAATAGGTTAGTTAATACTTTTGAACTTTACACACTTATCGTATCAAACCCTTTCTATAACTTCAATCTCAAAATGCAAATAGGCGATGAGGGTGGTAAGCCTAAGGGTTTTTAAAAAACCGACCTCATTCGGAATTGAAGATACCTCCTTAAACATCGTTTATAATATTAGATTGTATGGGCCTAGTCATGGTTTGGTGATAATGTTTCTGCTAAACATGTGAGAGCACATATTTGTAATAATTTCTTATACTTATAATAATCCTATTATAATATATAGGTAAATTCAAACATATTAAAATTGATCTTTATCCTTTTAAATATTAAAATTTAATTCTCTAATTTAAATAATATTTATATCTTTAATTAAATCTTTCTAAATTTTTATTAAACAATATTTAAAAATTTAATTAATCCTTTAAATATTCAAATTTAAATTCTATAATTAAATAATATTTAAAATTAAATATTCATATTTAAATTCTAAGTTAAACAATATTAAAAAAAATAATTAAATATCCATATTTAAATTCTTATTTAAATAATATTTAGAATCTATCTTTTATTGGATATTTAGATTTAAATTTTTAAATAATAATTAAAAAATTTTGTTTAATTATTCCTATTAAAATCCTTTTAAATAATATTTAAAACAAGAGGCTTTATCCATATAATTCAAATAACAACAAAAATATGGAAATATGAAAAACGTCCAGTCGCACTACAAACTTCGACTATCAGGTTTCCAGATTTCGATTTTTAAGCAATACTCACAATTAAAGCTTATAGGCTCTGATACCACTATTGGGTTTTTATGCATCTATACACATGATCAAGGTAGTTAAAACTAAACAAAATACATATATGTACATGCACCTTATGATCTAGGTTTTACTAATTATAACAACCTAATTAAAAACTATAAATTACTAAAGAAAGATGTAATTACTAACCTCTTGTGTAGCTTGATCTTGACCTTCTTAAACCTTCCTGATCCATTCTTGATCCAACCATGTTGCTTGGATGTGAGAACCCAATATAGAATCCTTCTAATGGAATCACACCCAAGACTCCAAATAAAGAACCAAAAAAAAAAAAAAAACTAGGAATGATCAAATTTCTACAAACCCTAAAAAGGGTTAAGAAATTCCTCCCATAAAGAGAAATGGAAGACGTTGGCGAAAATTCAAACCAATGTATAATGAAGAATGAAACCCTTATCACCCTATTTATAACCTTTAAGCCCTTTCTATGTTTCATCTCTCATCCCATGTGGGATGAAGATACAATTTGAAAATCACCTCTCATCCTATGTGGGATAGAGATTTCAAAATTCCCTTACCCCCTTAGGGGTTTCAGAATATTTCCAATTAGTTAATCTTTTTACTATTTAATATTCAACCACTTGAATTAATTAATTCTCAATTAATTTCAAAATAGTTTCTGATTATTTTATTAAACATATTAAATTAATAAACTTATTTTCTCCTTATTTTTTTTTTAATTTCTTATTTGTGTCATGAGGGCAACCCAAAATGACATTGTTATCATCTTAGAAATATTACCAATAGGCAATAAACAGTGGACATTATTTTCTAACCATGATGTTACTATAGGGATGTTAAAAAGTCTCATGGGACTCCAATCCCGTATGAGGGTATTTGTTTAAAAAGATCAAGGGCAGGGGAAGGTTAACTCCCGTTTTAGTTTCAGGGGCGGGGGTGAGGGTGGGCAGTCCAATCCCGAACCCGTCACAGAGGCCCAATTAATATATTATCTATATCCGTATATGTTAATCATATAAATATAATAAATAATAACTTGATTTTAAGCAACCAAAATTCAACAAAAAAAAAATCATGTTTTTAAGTTGTTAGCATAACGTTTTTGAGATGTCATAACATAATTGTTTTTAACATGTAAAATTATACCACAAATAACTATTTTTTTCCCAAAAAATAGCTTATTTTAGCAAAAAAAAAAAAAAAAAAAAAAAGGTTACCCCAAATCTATCAGGGGCAGGGGAACAGTGACATGGGTGGTGTTATCCAGGAATTCGGGGGTGGGGGCGGGGGCGAGGGATGCAACCCCCGTCCCGTTTTGTCCCATTGACATCCCTAATCTTGTAGCCTTAGAATTTGCTTGCTACGTGTTCCCTGAAGTCCATACTAATGTTATTTATTTGCTAAATGAATGCCTTAGGGTTGTACATAATTATGATTGCATAAGTTGAGAATGATTTATTTAACCTTACTTCATGTTGTTTGTTTGGTGGTAGGCTTATGGTAGAATCACTTATTCGACCGTTTATTTGATCTTTTATTACGTATGACTCACATTCAAGCGCCAAACAGATAGTTCCATGCCAAAGAGAGTAATATGCGTAAGATGGACACTGAGCGTTAGGAATTGAAGGTTAGTTGCCGCACCGCCGAAAACCAGGAAGAGAATTGTGGAAGTTGTGGAATGATTGTTTTCGGTAGAAATAACGTAGGATCGTAGGTGTTCTAATATAATCTTTATACATTTCGGTAGAAATAGCGTAGGGTCGTAGGTGTTCTAATGATTGTTTTCGGTAGAAATAACGTAGGATCGTAGGATCGTAGGTGTTCTAATATAAGAGCGTTAATGTTTTCGAAGAAAAAAAAAAGTTAAAATTCTCGTTACAAGTGTATAATCTTTATACAGTGAATTTACAACAATTTTCCTAAACTATCTCAACGAGTTACAACTAAGTAAAACAAAATCTCCTATGAAAAGTATACAATATATTTTGAAGATAAGTACAAAGAACTTAATAACTTACATTGTATCTTCTAAATAAGCACAAACTACCAATTCTAGTTCTTAATAAAGATCAAAAACTCATCAATGCATTAATGTGATATATGCTAAAAGTCGGTTTTGTTTTTAGCCGTTTCTTAATTCATTGAACATCTCCGGAATGGATAAACTTGTGATTCTAGAAATGCTAAAATAAATGACATCCTCCCAAGGACGATTCTAAGGGGTTCCCGATGTGGTACCGGCAACTCCTAACTTTTCTGGCCGTAGTGAATTTTTTTTTTCGATTTTTCAGTTTTTTTCTACCTATTTTTTATGTATCGACAACACCTAATCATCCCGGCAATACCTACCATGTATTTCTGCATCCATCCCTGCATCCTCCTTAGTTTACACCAACAAACCAAAATTGTTGATTTGAAATAACAATATTGTAGGCAGAAAAATAAATCTCTTCGACTTAAAATCTCATAAAAACATATTGAAAAGAGTAAGACTTTTGTCCTCCGAACATTACATTAGTTAAAACATAGCTCACTATACAATATGCATACACTATACATGTATAATACTTGAACTCAAAACCTAAAAACATATGAACCGTTTGAAGTGGCATAAGCATAAACTCGATGTAGTTTGAGACATACTTGTCATTATTGATATGTTGAAGGGGTTGAATGAAAATTGAGAAAAGAAAGTTAGAATGGCTTTTCCTTTTGGCTTTCTTTTGTTGTTCCGTACCCCAATTCTGTGATGGTGACGGTAGCATTTTCTTTTTCTCTCTCTTTCTCTGTCTATATATATACACATATTTTATGTATATTATTCTCTTTTATTTGCTTTTAGTATTATTTGCCCATCTCTTTGATTGTTTCGTTTCTTGACTTTGTAGAAACAATAACCGAGGGAGGTCCCACCCGCAATCACCACCATCACCACCGTCCACCGCCTACCGCCGGGGTCCACCGAATCATCATCAACTCACACTACTTACGCACAAAGATCCGTATAATATACTATCACCACCACCACCTCTTTTTATATTTAAAAAATAAAACTTTTTTTTTTTTTTTTTATTTGTGGGTTCTTTTTCTTTTTTCCTTTTCTCTCTTATTTGTATGCACATTTGAATAGGAACACCCAGAAAAAATCTCGTTTATGTTCTTGAATTTCTGTGTGTGTCTCCCTCTATCTTTTATCTCCCACCTGGAAAACATTCTTTCTTGGTGAGAGAAGAAGACGGCAGAGATGAGTTTTGATTTGATTTAAGTAAATCACCCAGAAAAAAAAATAGATTTTTTTTTGGTGTTTTTAGGTCACAGATTCTCTTGAAGACATCGAATTATATACCCTTTTGGTAAGATTGTGATTTGATAGTTTGTTTTTGTAATTTTTTAGAAATTTTGTGGATAATAATTGTCTCTAACCCCTGCAATCATATGACTGTTTCTCGATTCAATTTTTAATTCAAACGACTCGTACACTTTAATATATTAATTGATTGGATTGGATTGTTTGTTTATTTATTGTTTTGTGGGATGTTTCAGGCTTTGAAGGAAGGTGGCGTTTGACTTTTTCATTTCAAAAGTCTTTATCTTTGTGTTGAATTTACGATGGCTTGATTTGATTCATCAAGATCTATACCTCAATTGATCGAAGGTAAACCCCACCCTGCTTTTGATCGTCTTCTTGAACCTTTCAAGTTTACCATTTTCTTGAACAAATATCGTGTAATCGTGAACATGGGCGTGGTTTAATTTGGGTATTATCGGAATAAAAGAAAGATTGTCGAATTTTAGGGAGCAAAAATGAACGACGAGGCTAATTCTTGGATCAGAAGAACAAAATTCTCTCACACAGTATGCCATCGATTAGATTCTGCAAGATTAGCCTCATTTCTATCCGATGGTCAACCAATTCGAATCGCGGGTATAAAAACCCGACCCCCAAAAACTCTCGAAGACCCAAAACCCGCCGAAATCCAAGCAAATCCGGTCACAAACAAGTACAGAACCGTAACTCCGCCACCCAAAACCACCGTCCCCGACACCTTCAAAGAAGCAAGGTCAAACACAAAAAGATTCTCAACCCCACATCCCCAAAGGGTAGAAACGGAAAAAGGGTTTAAAGAAAAGAAGATGTTTCACAGAAACATGACTGCCATTAACGTGAGGCCTCATGAGAATCTTTCTAGTCCTCTTAAACATTTCAATTCGATGAAGATTCAAGATAAAAAGAAGATGAAAAGGGATTATTCTTGGTCAAAGCTGTTTGACCATGGTGGAGGGAAGGTTACTTCTGTCGAAACAATTGATGATGTTATGGTTGACCTTTCAAAGCTTTTCCTTGGCCATAGATTTGCTCATGGTGCAAATAGTCAACTTTACCATGGAATTTATAAAGATGAAGCTGTTGCTGTTAAGATTATTCGGCTTCCTGATGATGACGAAAATGAAGAACTTGGAGTTAGACTTGAGAACCAATTTATCCGAGAAGTTAATCTTTTGTCGCGACTCCACCATCAAAATGTCATTAAGGTATAATTATCTTCGAATCTTTAGTATTTTGTATTTGTTTCTATATTGATTATTGTTGATTAAGTTTCTTTTACATAGTCGAAAAAGTATAATCAATGGTTTAATCACATTAGAAAATTGTTATTTTGTTGGTCCAAAGTCATGATTGTATGATTACTAATTCGATAAAAGCAATAGTTTAATGGCAAAATCGGTAAAACGGGGAAAGTAAAATATAGGTAAGTAGCTAAATCGATAAAAAGATGGAAGTACAAATGCTATTATGTATCTTCCTTCCCCTCTTAAAATAACCTACCTATCTCTTAACTTTAAACAACTTTAGTTTAAAATAATCATTTGTACCAATCGTTATTAGGTAAATTATTAAATGTTTAACTAATTTTCTTTAAACTTTTTATGATGCTAGTTTGTAGCGGCGTGTAGACAACCACCGGTTTTCTGTATCATAACCGAGTATCTTTCAGAAGGTTCTTTACGGGCATACCTACATAAACTCGAGGACAATACCGGAAAAGAAAAAGAGTATCTTCCGTTACAAAAACTTATTAAAATGTCTTTAGACATTGCCCGTGGAATGGAGTATATTCATTCGCAAGGCGTGATTCATAGGGATCTCAAGCCAGAAAATATCTTAATAAATCAAGATTTCAATTTGAAAATTGCGGATTTTGGGATCGGTTGTGAGGAAGCGTATTGTGATTTTTTGGCGGATGATCCGGGGACGTATAGGTGGATGGCACCCGAAATGATTAAAAGAAAGGCGTATGGGAGGAAGGTTGATGTGTATGGATTTGGGCTTATTTTGTGGGAGATGGTGGCTGGAACTATACCTTATAAAGATATGACTCCTATCCAAGCTGCATTTGCAGTTGTTCATAAGGTATCTATATCTTTATCTACATCTATCTTTTAATTGTTCTTTTCGAGTGTCTTGCTATTTTTGGCACGTCATAGCTAGCTGATAATCTATATTAAGTTTTCATGTTTGGCAGGCCAAAAAGTAGCTTTTTAAGAGCTTTTTTAAAATATTTAAAAAATACCCTTAATTAGTTATAGAAAACTCATTATCCTAAATGTCCTTTTATGTCATTTTATATATTTCAGTTAGTTTTTACCAAACGTCATTTTTTTTTCGGCTAGTAGCTATCTTTTCAGCTATCAGCTAGTACGCCAAACATAGTCTAAAGTCTTTTAACATTTTAAAAAAACTCCCTCGTTTGTTTTTGGGCTAAATGCAAGAAATAGTATACTTTCATTTATTTTTGTATTATAGCATTACACTTTCATTTATTTCTATTACAACATTATACTTTCATTCTTTTCTCATTATAAAAATTTACCCATTATAGCAATGAAAGTGGCCTTATATTCGGATGGAATTTGCTATAATTCGAACAAAACCACGAAAATACATTTTGCAAGAAACCCACTCACAGAAATTCCGTTTTTGCCCCTTTTCAGAATCTCCGGCCATCTATTCCGGCGGACTGTGCTCCGGCAATGAAAGCATTAATAGAGCAATGTTGGTCTACACAACCGGAAAAAAGGCCAGAGTTTTGGCAAGTGGTGAAGGTGTTAGAAGAGTTTGAATCTTTAATAGCACGTGATGGAAACTTGAATGTTTTACAACATCCAACATGTTTAGATAATAAAAAGGGACTTCGCCATTGGATTCAAAAGCTTGGGCCTCATCATCAACATCAACATAACTCTCCCATGCCTAAACCGAGGTTTTCATGAAAACTTTGTGAGTTTATATTTTTATCTGGAGATGTTTTTGGTTGACCGGGTAATGATGTAATTAAAGAAAGTGTTTGTTTTTGAATTATGTTTGGATTTTGTTTATGTGAATGGTTAGGGTTTTTATCGATACATTGTTGTTAAAGATTGGGTTCAGACACATATTGGTCATGTTTTGATGGTGAATATGATTTCGAATTTTGTGTTTGAAGAATTGGGTTGTGATATATTTGTATTTGTTATTTGTTAAATTATCAAATTTGCGAAAGTATATTTTCGTAGGGGCGTGCAGAAAAATTGAAATCGAGTAAATGAGTGAAATAATTGAGATATTGTGACTAGAAAACCGATGACTATGGGTATATTTGCAAAAATTGATGGTAGCCGAAAAATATAGTTTTTTTATTGGTATAGTCGTGTGTGGAAATATTGGTTGTAAGCTTTTGATACTTGTATAATTACACAAGTGAACATCTCAATAAAAGCTCCAAATTTAAACGTAAAAATCTCGGAAGTTATTTGAAGTAGTTTTTTTAATTATGAGCTTTTCGTAAAAGAGTATAGAAAAAATTGAAATGTAGTAAAAAGCCGAAATAATTGAGAATTGTGACTAGAAAACCGATGCTTAGGGTTATATTTTCCTAAAAGTAAATGGTAGCTAGAAGTTGTAAGTTTTATTCATGTGGATGTATTCCGAAAAAGATATGTGGAAAACTGGTTGCATCCTTCTAAATTACATATAAAACATCTTGATAAAAACTTTAGATTTAAACATAAGAGCTGAAGATCTCAAAAACTATTTGAAGTAGTTTTTGGATTATAGGTTTTTGTTTTTAAAGATAAAAGTTTTAAACTTGTATTCCTTAATAGTGTTTTATTCTTTAATTTCATTTTATTTAAATGAAAGTCTAAAAAGCTCATTGAAAAACATGTTCAAATTTGTCGATCATTGTAGTATGGATTTTTAGTGGCTTTAAGCCGAAGGGAGTGACTGGAGACTACCCCTTGGTGTATTGCCTGACTCGGTGTAACAAACACCACCTCTTGCCTCAACATGCCAAGAAAAATGGCCAAAATGGACAAGAAACTGTCGAGTCTCTTTCCTTGCAAAGTTTTAGGTTTGATGTTTGCTTGAGGTGGATTGTTAGAAAATGAAATGAAGTAGGAGGTGGCTTCGGTACACCTCATCACCACTCCTCATGGCCTTAGTATATTACTAGTTTTTCTAAATTTTATTAGCTTATTAAGGAAAAAAAAACACAAAATTTTAATAAGTCAAAGTAGGTAACTGAAAAATGAATAATACAAGCTGGGCTAGTCCACTTGGTTAAAAATGTGTCTAACAAGAAGATCATGGGTTTAATCTTAAACATATACTAACACTGCTAGACAAAAAAAAAAAAAAAAAACTGAAAAATGATGTAGTGGAACCCAAAAACAAAAAACCAAAAGGAAAAATATTAAACATAATCAAAATCAATATTCATAAATAAATTCAGGATCTTTTGTTGTGTTTCGGAATTTGACAGAAACTAGACCGGACCGAACATTTTATTTTTCTGAATTAAGGCTTTTAATTTTTTTTTTTTTTTTTTTTTTTTTTTTTTTTTTGAAATTCTAGTATGTTAAGATTTCTTGTTCTTTCATATCACTGTCATAGATACAAGAAATTTTATAAAAAAAATATATGAAAAATATTGAAAGTAGACATTATCTATTTTAATGAGGGATAGCACGACCATGTGGTTGCGAAAAAATGTAATTTAACTAGGCGAGACATAACATACGATAATATTTGTAACAATAGATAAACATTTAAAAATAAGCATAAACACAAAAATGTAAAATGATAATATATATATATATATATATATATATATATATATATATATATATATATATATATATATATATATATATATATATATATATATATAGACATACACACACACTATAGATGTCGACCCGCGCAAAACGACGGAGATAAATAGTTTTTTTGGTGAATAATTTTTTATGGTGAAATAATTATTGGATTTAATTTTATTATCAGTTATTATGTGTAGCGCCCCGATTCCCAAGTATCGATTTCTTTTGATATAAGATCTTTTTGATTCCAAGGTCTATTCGATGAGTAGCAACGGGTTGGTCAACGTGTTTAATTGACATACTCGCCGAGTCCAAGGAGGGATTCGACGAGTAGGAGCTGGAGGATGAAACCCAAATTTTCAGGGTTTTTCACCTTATTTAAATGATCATTGGCCTCCCCAACCTCCCCTCTACAACCTCTTATCATTCCAAAACCCTAATTCGTGTGTGTGCTTTCTAGGTGTGTTAAGTTTTGAAGAATGATTTTGGTGAGAAAAGCTTGGGGAAAACAAGTGATTAGAAGCAAGGAACTCGTGGGGAATTAGCGGTCTTATTCAATGGGCACCCTTTTTGAAGGTATTAAGTTGTTACCTTGGCTCATTTCTTCCTAGATCTCTTTTGGGTGGTTTTTAGGAAACTTTTCTTGTGTTTGAGCTAAGATTTGAAGTTGCAACTTCAGATTTGAACTCTCTTTGGTCTCTAAGTCCATAAAGTTGCCAACTTTGGCAAGTATGAACCTCCCCTCAAGTGTAAGACTTCTTTGCAAGCTTAGTTTTGTCATTTTAAGGCTTGAGAGCTTTGTATGTACGTAAAGTTTGCAATTTTATGTGATAAGCATGCTTTGGGAAGCTGGATATACAATATGGAGCCTTTGGATGGCTTAAAAAACATCTGTATGGATGAAGGACTGAAAGGACTCAGCGAGTTTCATGGTCGACTCGGCGAGTCCGATGAAGATTATCGTGGGCTCGCCGAGTCAGATGAGTGACTCGATGAGTCGGATAGGGTTTCCCAACCTTTGGACATATATGAACGTGGCGAGTTCCAAGGGAAATTGGACGAGTCGGCCAAGGACTTTACAACTGCAAACTTTAGGAACTCGATGAGTCACTCTAGTGACTCGACAAGTTGGTGAACTATGCATGGAACTCGGCGAGTAGCTGAGGGTACTCGACGAGTTGAGGTCAACATGGACTGTTGACCTTAACAGTTGACTTTGACTTTGACCAATGGGCTTCTAGGGACGTTTTGGGAGGTTGAAAATTTACACGTATGGTTTTGCAATGAATATAGGTGGTGGAGTTCGTGACGGTGATCTGAGAGTTTAGGCTAATCTTACGAGTCGACAGTTCCGAGGTGAGTTATCCGCACTATATAAGTAGGGTCTAAGGCACCAAGGGCGGCCCTTTATGATTGTATCCAAATTAGGGCATGATATATGTATTGGTTTACATCATGATAGTTAGGATGGTGATATGCTTATGTTAGTGACTTGGTTAGATCAGTGTCCTGATTATAGAATGATGCTATGTTAGTGACCGGTTAGGTCTGTATCCCGGTTTTTGGGATGTTGCTATAATTAGTGATCTGTTAGATCGGTTTGACTGGTATATGATATGAGCCAACTTATGATATTTATGTGTATATGTTTGTTTGATTGTGGGTTGGGTTGAAACGGTCTTGCATTGTGCGGTAGGCCAACATACCGGGTGAGCGGTTCGGATAAGTTGTAGGCCCTGTGAGGTGGTCCAGTCATGCCGAAGGCTCGGGAGCGGTCCATATAGGTTGTAGGCCCTACGAGGCGGTCCAGTCAGGCTGAAGGCTTATTATGCATGATGTCGTGTATTTGTTAATATGGTATGATTATGGATATGTAAGGGTGGTATTTGGGGGGTAGATAACTTAGCTTCAGGGCTTACAGTTTCAGTTGTTGTTTCAGGTACTTCTGGTGATCGAGAAAAGGTGAAGGCATGATCGTACCACTCCTCCTACTGCTATGTTTTTTATGATTTTGAAAACAAATTATTTAATGATTAAATGGTTTTAATTGTGTTGAAAAGTTTTAAATTGGTTTAAATTTTATGGGTGTTACAAGTTGGTATCAGAGCCATGTTTTGAGTGAATTGGATGAACATTCGTGTGAATCCAGTGTAACATCCCAAGTTCAGAAGCAAGAAGTCAAAGGGTGTTATGTGAAAATTAAAGAAGGGACTCGACGAGTAATTATCTTGACTCGTTGAGTCGAAGCGAGTGCCGGACACGTGATTAAGTGGCCTGACTCGCCCAGTCGGTGGCTGGACTCGCTGAGTCAGTGTTTGAAGAGGAAAACCCTAATCTTAGGGTTTGCACCCTATTTAAAGGACTTAATGTCCTCCCCTCAGCCCCCTTAGCACCCTTTGAGATCCAAAAACCCTAAATTCATGTGTGAGAGTCCTTTGGAGGCAAATTGGAGCTTAGATAAGTGATTTGTGAAGAGATTTTGAAGATCAAGAAGCTTGGATCAAGTAGATTTGTGGAGATTCGGATTATTCTTCTGTGGGAGGTCGTTTTGGAGGTAATGAATCGTTATCCTTAGCCTTCTCCTTTCTAGATCCATCTTTCATGGATTTTTAGGGTTTGTTTGGACATATTGTGATGAGATCTTGGTACATGAGTTAGATCTGGAGTTGAAACTCCATATCTGAGTTCCATTTGGATCAAATATGCAGAAATCCCTTTTAGTTACTATGAAAAATCCATTCCCCATGAGATAAGTTCCTTTCTAGCTTGTTTTTTGGAATTATGGGACATGAAGCACGTAAAGGTAGCAACTTTATGTTGCTAATGCACTCTAGGGACCCATATCTATTGTTTAGAGCAAAGGAGTAGCTCTATATCTTTCAAATATGAGAGTGCACGTATGAACTCGACGAGTCTGGGAGATGAATCGGCGAGTTGGGCCAGGGTTTCAGGCATTGAGTCGCGTAGTGACTCGGCGAGTCGCATGGGTGACTTGGCGAGTCATATGATGATGAGCTTGGACTCGACGAGTTGGAAGAACAACTCGACGAGTCTGATGAAGCTTGTCGTGGACTCGGCGAGTTACGACGCAGAACCTCCAACCTCTTCTAGTTAAGAATCAGAGCAGTGAGTTGAGTGGTGATTCAGTGAGCTTGGTAGGATAGGACTCGGAGAATGTTGAACTCGACGAGTCATGAGGTGACTCGGCGAGTAAAGTCAATCGGAAGGTTGACTTTGACTAAGGACTTTGACTTTGACCTTCAGGGGTATTATGGTAATTTGGATATTTATATCAATGGATCATTCATGGCTATAGGTGTTGGAGTTGGAGGCAGTGCTTCGGGATTCAGCTTTCGTGGTTCGGTTCGACAGATTTCAGGTGAGTTATCCTCACTATATCAA